TGTCCCTCTTCCTGAGGTGCACACCGTGTCCCTCTTCCTGAGGTACACCGTGTCCCTCTTCCTGAGGTCCCTCTTCCTGAGGTGCACACCATGTCCCTCTTCCTGAGGTGCACCGTGTCCCTCTTCCTGAGGTGCACTGTGTCCCTCTTCCTGAGGTGCACTGTGTCCCTCTTCCTGAGGTGCACACCGTGTCCCTCTTCCTGAGGTGCACCGTGTCCCTCTTCCTGGAGCACCGTGTCCCTCTTCCTGAGGTGCACCGTGTCCCTCTTCCTGGAGCACCGTGCTGCTTGAGTTCAGAATGCTCAGGTGTACGGACTTGAATTTGCAACATCTGAACTAAGCAAGTATCTAAGATAATTAGGTCATTCACGGGAGGGTTTGTTTGTTGACGGCCTTTATGGCAGTCTTGCGTCTACTTACAAGATCGGTCTTCATTATAGCACCCTCTCAGCTGAGCTGTCTGGTGGCCAAGGAGTCCAACACCCCTGTAAGGAAAGCAGATGGATGGCCCCTCCATCTTATACTTGACTGTGTTTTTTCGGGGTAGATGGACTTCTGCAGTCCCAGGGTAGTGAAAGGCATCCTGGGGGAGCAGTGAATGCTGAGGTAGGGATTGGGCCACTTTTCCCACACAGCTAGATGCAACTCTCTCCAGCTCCCGGCCCCTGTAATTGGGGTGCCTGTTTAGTGTAGATGCTTCCAGTGCTAAGCCCCAGCTCTCAAGAATGACTGGGAACAGATCAAGACACTCAGAACCCACAGAGGGTGAACTTACTCCATCCTGCCCACAACTCTTGTTCTTACCCCATTCTTCCAGTTGACAACTGAGGCTTGGAGAGATTGCAGCCTGCCTCCTTAGATAGTAACGTGTTATTCAGAAGGAAAGCCAGGTCTGTCCACTACAAGCCAGGCGCCCATGTCCAGCGGGTCTCTCCTGGCTTCAGCAAGCTAAGATGTGGGCAGAAGCTAAGGAATGCAAGGAAAAGAAGACCAGAGGGAGAGATGCTGACAAAGGTTTCAGGGTTTCAGGGAGGGGACGCCCTGGCCCAGGCAGGAGGACAGATTTTAAAAGGGGACCTGCAGAATCCCTCAAACAAGAGAGCAGGCATAGGGTAGCAGAGGGCTTTACAGCCATGACAGGCTGTTCAGATCAGGCTTGGTGACTCATATCTGTCACTCCACGATAAGGGGGCTGAGGCAGGTGGATCACCATGAGTTCAAGGTGAGTCCCCCACCTCCAAAAAAAGAACTTCTGGTCTTTGCAGGCACCAGGCACACAGATAGTACACAAGCAAACATATATACAGACAAAACACACATAAATAAATAATTTTTTTTTAAATAAAAGACAAAGGGGCTGGAGAGATGGTTCATTGGTTAAGAGCACTTGCTGCTCTTGCAGAGGACATTCAGTTCCAGCACCCATGTCAGGCGTCTCACGGCAACCTATAACTCCAGGGGATCTCAACTGTTTTCTGGCCTCTACACACATCTGGCACACACACACACACACACACACACACACTTATACAGAGGGAGGGAAGTGGGGGCATGGGATTCATAGCCGGTGCAGTAGCTGCCCTGTGGCCATAGGACCAGCAGATTCACAGAGGTTCTGATGGATCATCACATTACAGAACTTCAAGATTGTTCATCTACTAACTCTACACTGGCCCCTACCCTACCTCTACAGCAGCATGGATATCCATGTTAACCTCCTGACCTCCCCAGAGGCCAATAACAATAATGTGGAGGTCTTCAGCAAGTATTTCTACGATGACTGTGAACTGGGCCTAGGGTTTAGCCTTCATGGTGTCCCTGGCCATGGATGAGCTGTTCCTTGGGACCGGATAACTGAGATAACCTGCTCGCCCTGGCCCTTTTGGACTCACCTGCTTGAGTCACATTCCTGGCTGGCAGCCAGCCCATCCCAACAGCCTGCACCTCACCTGTGGGAAGAAGAGGCCTACCTGGGACAAGACTGCACTCCCCTGGCTCTGGGCCCCAGCTGTTGCAGAGCCTGCCTTTTATAGCCTGAGTAATTGTGCCCTTCCCAAGTGAGGCTGTGATGATGTGTGTTGGAGCCCCAGTAAATGTATGTTCCCACAAAACAGAGGCCCATAAGTCAATAAGAAAAAATGCACTTATTGAAAAGTAAGTAGCCTGCATGAACAAGCTACCCACCAGAGAAGAAAACCCTCATGACAGTGCGGCTTTAAAAGGCCCAGCAGTGGAGAGCAGGGCCAGCAGGCTCTGGTCTGTGGGCTAAAGTGAGATGGGCCTGTGGATTGCAATCCTAGCTCTGCCCTTCCAGATGAGAGCCTTGGGCAAGTAGCATAATACTTCTAGACCTCAGTTTCCCCATCTGAAAACAGATGGATGGAGATATGCTGGAGAAGACAGGATGGGTTAACTTACAGAAAGCCTGCCGCACAGCAGATGGTGGAAGTGAGTGCTGAGAAATGGTAACATTGGAGTAGTGCGATGAATAGTAAATAAAACCATCACCATGTCACATGGACCAGATTGGCAGATGGTGGAAGACCTGGGGATTTCAAGGGCTGAGAAAAGGGTCTCATATACTGTTTGCCCAGTGCAGACTGGCGCAGCATCTTGAAGAGCAGCTTGACAGCATCCAAGGTGTCCCAGCTGCCTCCAGTGGCATTCTAGGGGCCTGCGTACGTGCGTATATATTGAAATGATGTGTAGGACTCCTGCTGCCCTTCCTTCGAGGGTTCCCTGTCACAGCAGAGCCCTGGAGAGACAGCCTGATATGGCCACACCTGCACTGAATGAAGAAGGAGTCCAAAGGAAGAAGCATTGAACAACATGAGCAGTGTTCCTGTAAAGGAACACCAAAGCTGGTGTAAGAGCTCATGCCTGTCATCGCAGTCCTTGGGAGGCTGAGGCAGGAGGATAACCAGGAATTTGAAACCATCCTGGGCTATACTAAACAAACAAGAGTAACAGCAATGAATGAATGAATGAATGAATGAATGAATGAATGAATGAATGAATGGAAAGGGACACTGAAGAATCAAGAGTCCGTGGAAGCCAGAGACTAAAGAGCATGTGTTGGTCCAGGAATGTACTCTACTCTCCACTTGGACATCCATGGCAGACAGTACTAATCAATCATAGACCCTGACCTCAACACCCTTTTGATGTTCCACATAGCCTCTACTAGTTGACCATAGTTGTCAGAGAAAAATAAATCTAGGTAGTATCTTTTGTTTATGTCCGTCCCTTCAGCCTTTTCCCTTTCATGGCTTATCAGCCTGGCTTACCACTGCCATTGGCCTCCCTTTGCCTACCACAGGCCAGGGGAGCTAGGGATAGACAGTTGCCAACAGCTTCAGTCAGTGGCTGGCAGGATGGGCTAAGTGCCCCAGTTCCCTCAGGTGAGTACCTTAGACATGCATCGTCACCAGTGTCCCCGAATATCTCTCAGAGTCCAGGTGCTGGTCCCTAACAGTGAGTGGAGCCTTCCCTTTCGCCTCACTCCCCCTCTCTACACCAGCATGTCCAGGTTCCTTCCCGTAGAAACCCACTGTCCTCTGCTCTTTTCAGAAGGCCCAACTCTGAGGAACTACACTCGAGCACCCCTGCATCTTCATGGGTGTGAAGGCAAGGGACTTTCCCAAGAACTGGCAAGGCCCTAGTGAGAGCCCATGCTTAGCTTCCCAGCCTCCTGGCTCCCTGTGGTCTCGACCCTCCTGCTTTGGCATTGATTTCCCACTGCAAGAGAAATGACCCAGCAGGGTAATCCCTGATGGGAACTCCTGGGCGCCTGGAGGTGGATACCACCTTTTGGGTGGGCCCCAGAGCAGTCCCTTCTTCCAGGGCCTCAGTCTCCCTCTGTGGACTAGATTGCTAAGGAATCTGCTTCCTGCTGGGATGGAAGATGGTCTGGAAAGCAGCTGGCTCCCACCCAGTCATGAACATCCAAAAGGTTAAAAATGCATATCTCTATGTTTTTAGCAGTTCAAGAATCTATTTACACTTTAGCTTTAGTGGGAAGTGAATGCTCTTTCTCTTTTTTTTATTTATTAATGTGTGCATGTGTATGGTGGGTGGGTGTGCAGCATGTGTAAAGGTCAGGACAGCTTTGTGGGGTCAGTTCTCTCCTTGGACCCTCACATTCACTCTGGGACTTGAACTAAGGTCATCAGGAATGCATGGCAGGCACCTTTACCCGCCGAGCCATCCTGCTGGCCGTCAGAAAGATCACCTACTTATTGAACAGGTCACCAGTGAGAAAAGGAACTCTGTCAAGACTCACGGCACTTCTGCCCACGGCCTCCTACCTCTGGGGCCTCGCCATCCCACAGTCTGTTGATGCAGAGGTGAAAAATGTACTTAAGGCCCTGGCTCATCCTTCCACTCACAGTGTGACTTAAGGCACAAAGCACTTTCTTTCAGAAACACCAGCTTGTCGTCTGTGGAATGGGTGAGGATTCCAACCCCAAGGTGCCCCTCTCCAACTGCAACCTAGGGAAAGGCTTGGTAGGAGAGGGTACCCTTTCCTTTGCCACCGCTGGGGAGGCAGCCTGGGATGGGAGTGTCACAGGGGAGGGAACAGCCTTGGCAAAGCCTTTTGCTGTCCTCCCTCCCCCAAGCTGCCCTTGGTGACAAGGCAGAGGCCCTACACTGAGCGCTCTTTACTCTACCCCAGTTCCGGAACATGAGTGTTGGAGCCATGAACAAGATCTTCCCCCAGGTAAAAGCTGCCGGAGCCTGAACTGGTTCCTGACCTAGGGGGCCAGCCTGAGGGTGCAAAGGGTTCTAGGGGGTGCCCTGGGACCTCTGGTTACATTCATCTGCCCTGGGGACTCACTCCAAGTGGGAGCCAAGAGTGCTAATAGGCAGACAGAAGCTCAGGGGCGTTGGGGCACTGTCACTAGGAGGACCTGCCTGAGTCCATTTGAAGGACAAAGGAGCAGGTACTGGGTAGAAGCCACCCACTGCACTGGGGAAGTGTGGAAGCGTGAAGCCGGCAGATGAGTCTGAGCTGTGAGGGACCAGCGGTTTGCCCAGTCTGCTTCTGGTCTCTTGGGCAGGGAGATTCCGAGAGCCAAGCTGCTGCTGGAAAGCGAGCCTGCCCTGGAGGGGAAGGTAAGAACGGAGGTGCAAGTCAGGCTGGGTGCTGCGGGTCCGTCCCCAGGAACTACCTGAAGCGGGGCACAGAAAGTCCAAGGCTACTACCATGGCCCCTCTGCCTCAATGTAGACAGTGGTGGTGTCTGCTCCCAGCTTCCTGCCTAGCCGTACAGACAGCCACTTGCTGGATAGAGCTGCTCATTCTCTCCAGTTCCCAGCATTTTCTAAGTGGCTGCATTGTGCCTTTTACCTGCTAGACCGCCACACTGAACCTGTGACACCAAGGAACCTCTGGACCCCATGCCTGATCTGGGCAGTTCTGTTGATCTTAGGATAGAGTGGGTTAGGGCCACACACTTGTACCTATTGTATTTCCCCCACTCCTGTGTGGCCGGGACCTTCATGAGGTAAGGAAGGTGTACCTGCGGACTGAATGTCTCCCTGGGCCCCATCTTGGCCCTCAGTTGAGCAAGGAGGAAAAGAATAGGTATGAATGATCTGCCTCGGATGCCTGGAGTAGCAGACCTTGCTTTCAGGACAGCCGGGGGTGAGCTGGGTACTAGAGGCTAAGAGAAGTTAGGTGATCGGGTAATACAGCATTGTAAGGAGGTTGCTAAGCCTCAGGGCCTTCCTTGCTCCGTACTGATGGCTATTTCCAAGTTGGAGGTGTGGCTTTTCTTCCTTTGTCCTGGGTGGGCAGCAGCTAAGGAGCTTCTGGATTTAGAGTGGGCATCTCCACCTGGCTCTGCCTGGGAGTCTAGTCTTGCCTGTGACCCTGCCTCGCACACAACGTATACTGCACAAATATTTGAGGAGCAGCCACTTGGCTGGCCAGAAGTCTCTCCTGCTCAGGTTCAACACAGTCTCCCTGGTGACCTGTGGGGCGTTTACCCAACCACCCCCACAGTTCCCCAGAGTTTTCTTGAGTGCGAGCAGCAGGAAATATTAGATAGAAGGATTTATTGCGGAGAATCTTGCAGAGAGAAACAGATAGAAAATAAAGGATAGCCTCGAGAGGGCCTGGAACCTATTCCAACGGGCCCTGACTGTCTCTGCCCCAGGGTTTTTATAGAGACGCCAAGGGGTGGAGCAAAAGACCTCCTCCCCCAGCACAGCCAAGTGCAGACCATCTCAGACACCTGCACTCAGGCCCGTGGTCCTAATCATCCTCTATGCGGACCTGCTGGGTAAAGCCACGAGGAACCTGAGAACGGGCTCCCACAGTGACCCAAGTTTACCCTGTGTTTGCTGACCACAAAGGAGCCACCAACTAGGGCTGTGGGATGATAGGTTTTAGCTGTACATGTGCTTCCTGTCAGTGTATTGTCTCCTCTGCTGACCTACACCCTCATGCCTTCATCCTCGTTAGCCACCCCTCAGGCCTCTCCTCCCACACCCTCTGCCCCGAAAGCCTGCTCTTTGAGGCCTCTGCCCTGCCCCGACCTATCAATCAGCTGGTTTTCCTGAGGCCCCTGCATCACTCGAAGCTCCCCAGAGCCCTGTCCACACTTCCTCAGCCACGCTTTCGTTTGACACTACAGGCTCAGGTCTTGCTGGCAGGTGACTGGAAACGTGAGTGCTGTGAATTAAATGACCCCAATCAGGAGCCTTCCCTTGTCTTCTGCGTGTTTGGTTTGCACACACACACACACACACACACACACACACAACCAGTGAGAGCTATGCCCCTGCCTTAGAGCCTGACCGGGGCCACAGGGATGAATCAAACCTGCCGCTGCCCTTCTGGGACCTGGCACAGGGGACCAAGTCTCCACCCTGCTCCCTACAAGGTCTGGTTCTCCAACTGTAGCTGCGAACTCTCCGAGGCCAAGGAAAGCTATTTCCTGCCTTCCACAGAGCAAGGCGCCCAGGAGCTCCTTCATAAAGTTGCTTTGCTTCATTTTGCAAGCAAGCATTAGGGGGTTAAGCCAGGCATAGTAGTGCATGCCAATAATCCCAGCACTTGGGAGGTGAAGGCAGGCGGATCTCTGTGAGTTTGAAGCCAGCCTGGTCTACAGAGTGAGTTCTAGGCCAGAGATACACAGTGAGACCCTGTCTTGAAAAACAAAACAAACAAACAAAAAAAAGAATTAGGGGAGCCCAGCACACTTCTAGATGATGGGGACATCTGCCAGCTACTCCCATCACTGCTGTTTCCACAGTGCCTCAGTGAGAGCTTGACGCATGGTATATGCGCAGTAAATACTTAACTCCCAACAGCATCTGCTGTTTTAGAGTAACCATTCAACAAACCAGCCCCCATCATGGCACCACTGAGGCACAGAAAAGTGAAGTTCTCACTGTGTGGCCAGCTAGGAACTAATGGAACTGGACTCCAGGCAACATTCTGGAGGGCACTAGAATAGATTTTAGGTTGGAATTGAGGAAAAGGTCTGGGTTTGGGCATCAAACAGGTATCGTGCCTCAGCCCAGTACAGGGTAACCGGGGACCAGTCTGTCATCCACAGAAATAAAGGACTTTTGTGAAACATAGAAATGACGACTGTGATGAACCTGTGGTCGTTTCTTTCATGGTACGGACTGGGTACACAGATGTCTACTGTCCTATTCCCCTGGTCGTGAGGATAGACTAGGAAGGACAGAAGGAGAGACAACCTCTGGGAGCAGAGGCTAGCCAGTGGCGGCACTTGGTGATGGGGAGGACAGGCAGGACCAGAGAGTGTCACGGAGGGCTTAGAAGGGTTTCTTCTAGCCCTAAGGCTCCCTGACGGGGGGGGGGGGGGGGGGGGGGGCGCCTGCAGGGCTGGGTGGGATCCTGGGGGGATCCCTGCACCTCTTCACTGTCTTCCCCTCCACAGGCTGTGGCCCCTGCTGCTGCTCGCGCCGTGGGGCCTGCCTCTCGGCCTTCCTGCTGCTACTGCTGGCCGTGCTTGCCGCCTTGCTTGTCGTGGCCACTGTCCTCGGACGTCCACCCCGCATACCAGGTCAGGGTGGCGAGAGGGCGGCATGGAGGCTCAGGGAGCTGCGAAACCTAGCCCAGCCTAGTTTCTCCCTCTAGAGTCTTGAGGTTCCTTAAGGTGCAAACACAGATACCTGTGCATGAATGGACACAAGTCGGAGAGGCCTTGTACACACCCTTGACACGCATCGTTTTAATTTTTTCTTTTAATTTTTAAAATTTAGTTTTCTGTATATGAGTGTTCTGCATGCATATGTCTGTACACCCCATGTGTGCCTGGGGCCCAGGGAGGACGGAAGATGATGTCAGAGGCCTCCAGGTGGGTGCTGGGAATTGAACCTAGGTCCTCTGGAAGAGCAACAAGTGCTCTTAAGCACCGAGCCATCTCTCCAGCCCCAACATGTACTACTGAGAGGTCCTGGTTTTGCTGTTAATTCCTCTAAGAAACTCTCTCAGACCCCTGAGCTGGGCTAGGAGCTTCCTCAGTCCCACAGCCAATGCACTTCCTAGTCCCCTCATCTGACCACCCTGGGTGGTGCTCTCAACCACAGGACAGGTTGTGTTCAGAGCTTTCCTGTGGTCTGGCTGCAGCGGTGAACCACCCAATGCAGCCCCACCCTCAGGGAGCAGTTTAGAGAGCCATATGGGCTTGATCGAATAAACACCCAAGGGCAGGCCTAGTGGGGGGTCAGGGGTCAGAACCAAGGCTCTCATCCAATCAGTGGTGGGAGTCAGGGTGGGAAGCATCTTGGGGAGTGAAAGAGACCTGAGGTGTGAAGGGAAAGTGGAGATTGGTTGGAAGAGAGTGTCAGGAACAGCATCCCAGGCATAGGGAACAGCATGTTGGAGGTCCTGGGGTGGGAAGCATTCAGAGAAGGAAAGATGGAAAGAAGAGAGTGGATGTGAGTGTGTGGGGTCAGGTGCCCTGGACCTTAAAAAGCTGCACTTGGGCCAGGCGGGTGGTGGCGCACGCCTTTAATCCCAGCACTCGGGAGGCAGAGCCAGGCGGATCTCTGTGAGTTCGAGGCCAGCCTGGGCTACCAAGTGAGTCCCAGGAAAGGCGCAAAGCTACACAGAGAAACCCTGTCTTGAAAAACAAAAAACAAAAAACAAAAAAAAAGCTGTACTTGGGAGAGTGGCCATGTTCCAGGAGCCAAGGGAAGGGACTGTCCCATCCTTCTTCCTCACTTTCTGAGAGATGGCACCATGGCCAGGCAGGGCCACGGAAAGGGTGAAATCACAGCATTCCACCTGACAGAGCAGAAGGGGGAGCTGCAGCCATGGGCCTGTGTGTACAAGCGTATGTGCACGTGTGCATGTGTGTCAGTGCCTTGTGCATGCAGATGCTTGACTGTGTATGTGTGTGCGAGTGCCCGTGGTCATGCAGATGCCTGCCTGCCTCTGTGTGTGTGTGAGTGTGCATGCAGATGTGTGCATGTGTGTGTGAGTGTGCATGCAGATGTGTGCATGTGAGTGTGAGTGTGCATGCAGATATGTGCATGTGTGTGTGTGAGTGTGCATGCAGATGTCTGCCTGCTTGTGTTCATGTATGTGTGTGTGTGTGAATGCTCATATGTTGTTGGGTTTTGTTTTGTTTTTCACACTCTTTACTCTTTGGAGGCCCACCTCCAACTACCAAATAAATACACAGAGACTTATTCTTACTTATGAATGCCTGGCCTTAGCTTGGCTTGTTTCTAGCCAGCTTTTCTTAAATTATCCAGTCTACCTTTTGCCTCTGGGCTTTTAGCTTTCTCTATTCTATATTCCTTTCTTTCTTTCTTTCTTACTCCATAGCTGGTTGTGTGGCTGGGTGAATGGCCCCTGGCATCCTCTCTCCTTTTCTCACTCCTCCTCTTCTTCCTTCTCCTATTTATTCTCTTTGCCTGCCAGCCCCACCTATCCCTCTCTCCTGCCTAGCTATTGGCCGTTCAGCTCTTTATTAGACCAATCAGGTGTTTTAGACAGCCAAAGTATAACAGCTTCACAGAGTTAAATGCAACATGAAAGAATGCAATACATCTTTGCATCATTAAGCAAATATTCCACAGCATAAACAAATGTAACACATCTTCAACTAATATTCCACAACACCCATATGTGTGCAGGCACCTGCCTGCCTATGTGCACATTAGTGTGCATGTCAGTCTGTGTACATGTGTGTCAGTGTATGTGCACATGTCTGTGTGTGTATCTGTTGTCTCCAAGCATATGCAGGAGGGTGTAGCTGTGTCCATGTGAATGTGTTCATTTTCCTGTCTGCATCTGTGACAGTGTGTGTCCCTGAGGGTGTCTCCTATGACTAGCTGAGGTAGCTCTGGAACTGAGACATGACTCATACTGGCACAAATGCACTGACGGGCCTGCTGCTTCCCCTGCCCCATTCACACATGTGCCCACAGGCACAGTCTGTGACTTCCATCTCCTTAGTTTTTCCTTTAAATCTTGGGGCTACCCCTAGGGGTGAGTGTCTTCCCTCCTCTGGGAGGGTTTAAGCATACCACTTCTCAGGAGTACTTGGAGGAACAATAAAAACATGGAAGTTCGCAGACTCTTGAGGTATGCCCGGTTGGAAGGGATTGTGACATTCTGTCCCCAGACAGCACAAATATATACAATTTGCAACAAGCTAAACTGGTTCCAGGAGGTCCATCATTAAAGCCATGTGGATGATGGTACACTGACCTCAATGCTTCCTGTGTGAGCAAACCGGGGAGGCACTCTGCACACCCTGTGATCCACAGTGTCTAGAACGATCATGTTGTCCCCCACATTCCACACACCCCTGGGGCTAGGCTCTGACCTCTGTTTTGTAGACAAAGGACCTCGGCTTGAGGGGCAGGATCACCTGTACCTGCCATGATATGGAAACGGCAGAGTGGCAGCTTCAACTCCACAGATGCCGTGGAGTTTAGGGCCTCCCCGCTGCCCCAGGCCCTCCAGGAGCTCAGAGGGGCTCCCTGGGGGACCCTGTGCAGTGTCCACCTTGCCCATCTCAAGGCTGCCTGGATGAGCACCACCTCCACGCTAGGGCCTCTCTTGCCCCTACAGAGACCCAGTCCTGTGTGACAGTGACCAACAGGACGGGCTTCTTATGCCATGACCGAAGGCACTGCATCCCAGCCCACGGGGTGTGTGATGGCATTCGCACCTGTGCCCATGGTGAGGATGAGGAGGAAAGCTTGTGCCGTGAGTACCCCTCAGATCCGTGTCCCTGTCCATTCCCGCACAACCACCTTAACTCTCCCTGCAGCTCTGTGGAACATTCTTGGGCACTGCCTCCATGCCCCCATACCTAGAATGACATGATGCCCTAGCCAAGACCTTCCTCTGTACACTGAGGGAGCTCCACTCCTCAGCCTCTGTGGCCATCCTTCAAGGCAGAGTTCACACACTACCTCTTCCTAGAAGCCTTCCATGACTCCTGCTGGAGGTCAACAGTCCTTCTTTAGGCTCCTAAAGAAGGGACTTGCCTTCTTTGTCTTGGCCCTAGTCACACTGGCCTCACATCTGCCACCCCATTAGGCTATGAATGCCTCTGTGGCAGTCTGTTCCAGTCTGCTTGATACTGGAGTTCCAGTAGCTGGGACAAGGGTAGCCAGAATGACTTGCTGAATGAATGAGCAAGTGAATGAATGAATCAGAAGGCCTTGAAACACCTGTATTTAGGAGAGAGGAGCCTGGCTGCGTAGAATTAATGTGAGAGCATGAATGAACAGGGAGACTTGCAGGAGGGTGAGAGCTCTGAGCTGCTGGAGGCAGGTTTGGGAGTCTAAAGAATCATTTAGCCCAAATTCAAGAGTGGTGGTCACACCGTAATCTCATCACTTGGAAGGTGGATGCAGGAGGATCAGGAGTTCAAGGTCATCCTTGGCTACACTGCAAGTTTCAGGCCAGCCTGGGCTACATGAGACCCTGTCTCAATAACAACAAAAAGGTCAGCTGGCCCACACTTCAGCTCCTATCCCAAGTGCTGCTCCAGCAAGTGTGACAGAGACTACCCAGCCTCCCTTAAATGCTTCTAGGATGGGGGGTTCACCCCACAAGGCTGGCCTGGGTTTGTGTGAATTTGGGTCACCCTGTACACTACTTCCTGACCTGGGAGATACTTTGGAATCTGGGGCCTAAGTGTAAGGAATCTGGGTTCCGTCTGCTTCGTCCTGATGACAGGAGGCTTCCTGGCAGGAAAGACCTTGACCGTGGATGAAGGTGGTGAAGGCAGGGGTGGTGAGGAGGACTTCTGCCGAGACAGCACATGCAATGCTGAGGGTGGGGACACGCTAGAGGAGCCGGGACAGACAGGAGACTGAGGGTGGGGACACGGGGACACGCTAAAGGAGCCGGGACAGACAGGAGACTGAGGGTGGGGACACGCTAGAGGAGCCGGGACAGACACGAGACTGAGGGTGGGGACATGCAAGGGCTGGGTAGGGAGTGCAGATGCTCTTCCGGCCTCTCGCCATCCAACAAGAGGTACCCAGAGCAAGAACACTCCACTCCTTGGACCCGACCTCCTCCTGGGAGACTTCCTGTGGATGGGGAGACCCTGAGTGCACTGACTGCCAAGTTGGACAGAGTGATCGAGCTGCAGGTGGCTGAGGTACTGTGGTCCGAGGGGAACTTCGTCCTGCCCCATGTGTCCCTCTCTAGGAGATGTGCCCCAGAGCCTCCCCAGTTTCCTCCTGGCCCACTGTGGAGACCCAGCCTCCTGGATCTACTCGGACCAGAAATGTGATGGCACCAACAACTGTGGGGACTGCTCTGATGAACTGAGCCCAGGTAGGGTGGGCGGGGTCTGGGCACAGTGGGCGGGAACAGGCAGCCAGGCTGAGGTCAGGGGAAGAGGCTGAGCAGGACGCTGAGTCTCCTGCATGCTTTCCCTGCATCCCGGGAAGGAGTTTTCCACTCCCACTTGAACACCTCTGGGTAGAGGTGCTGGGTATGAGAGGCTCTCCTGTGGAGGGGACTTGTCTCCAGGGTGCTGACTGGGCACCAGGGCACTGAGGGGGACTGAGCAAAGACACTGCCTTACCTTTCTGGGTCTGAACCTTCTGTCCTGGGCACCTTCCAGCAACCCTGTGAGGAGGGTAGGACAGGACTCGAGACCCCAATTCATATGTGGGCAATCCCAAGCGTCAAGAAGGGAACAGACGCGGCAGGAAAGGAATGTGAAGTCCAGAGACCTGCTTTAGATCTCCTTAAACCCTCTCCCCAGCACTGGGGAGGTGCTCAGGGCTTGCTGCACAGCGTGGGGACCCAAATTCCATCCCTAGGATCCACACGCTAGAAGGGGAGAAGTGACCACAGGCTCTGTGACTTCCACACGCCACATGCACACCACGTCAGGTACGCATGCGCACACATAATAACTAAATGGAATTTAACATTTTAAGGTAGGGTGCTGAAGATGCAGCTCAGTTGGTAGAGTGCCTGCCTAGTGTGCGTGAAGCCCTGGGCTGATGCCCCGCACCACAGAAGTGAGGCATGGTGGTACATTCCTATAGTCCCAATACTCAGAGTGGAGGCAGGAGGAGCAGAGGGCAAGGTCATCTTTAGCTACATAGTTGAACAGTTAAAGGCCAGCTTGAGACCCTGTCTCAAGAGACAAAAGCTGAGGAACAACTGAGAAAGACACTGCAGACCTTAAGCCTCCATACAAACACACATATACATGAGCATGCATCCATCTGTGTGTATACGTGTGTGTGCACACACATGTACACACATTCTATCCCCAGTGTTAAATCAACAAACATGGTCTGAGCACTGTTGAGGGAGGCCTGTGCCAGATTCTGGAAGGGGATACTCAGGAGCCAGACACATCTTCAGGGCTACATCATGTTGGTGCCAAAAGGAAGTGCTGGGGCCCTGGAGGAATCCATGGACTTCTCAGAAAAGACTTCTCCAGAACAGGCTGCTGAGAACAGGGGCCAGCAGTCAGAGATGGTGTGTAAAGAGGAATGCTGGAGCCATGGGCACCAGGCAGGGGACAGAAGGGTGAGGCACCCCAGGAAGTCACTATGGTGGGAGTCAGAATGAAGCAGGAAGCTGAACTGGGTAAAGCAGTTTCTACACATCCATTCGTATCTGAGCTCTGCCTAGTTCCTTTTACTCAACAACTGAGCAGATGGAACCCGAGGCTTAGACAGGGTGAGCAGGTCACACAGCCTGAGTTATGGCGTTCAAGTCTCTCTGCTGCAGGGAAACCGGGAACATAGTCACCCCACAGTAGATAGCCTAAGGCTACAGGAGCTATGGCATGATGCAGGGCTGGAGAGTGCCCTAGTGTGTGGAGAGCCCTGGACCGACCAGCAGCTGCTTCTTCCTCTGGCTCTTGTCTCCCCAGTGACCGTGTGCCCACCTTGTGGCCCGGGATGGTGGCGCTGCACTCCAACTGTTTTCAGGTACTGCAGCTGCATCCCGAGGGTCCTGTGCCGGGACCGCGTGCAGCACTGTTCTGACTGGTCAGATGAGTACGTCTGTCCTGGACCCTGAGTGAACCTCCCTCCACAGCATGGAAGCCGGCACCAGGAACCTTCCGCCAGAGCATCAGACCCTAGACCACAGAGGCAGGAAGGAACCTCTGACATCATCCAGTGACAGGCTCCCACTCTCTCTAACTCAGAATTACCTTTCCTCTTTTCAAGGCTCTCAGCCTTTACTTGGGCACCTCCAATGACAAGGAGCTCACTGCCATGTTAGACAACTTCTAACAAAGATGAGGCCAGTCTGCCTCCATCTTTTTAGGCCTGTCTATGGGACCACACAGTGGAAATATGCTCCTTGGCTCCAGGGCAGGCCTGAAGGTCCCAATCTTGTCGATGTTTGGAGAGACAGATTAATGTGTGGCTCAAATGCCAAGCAGAGGAGTTTAGCCCCCGGGGACAGAAAACAAAGTACACACATTTACCATCCATTTGGTGCCCAAGGCAGAACTGCTGAGATCTAAGGCCGCTGGAGCCCGTTGCTCAACTCACCAGCAGCCCCCAGTTGACCACACGGGACTGCACGCGGTATCCTTCCAGTGCCTCAGTCTCCTTGTGGCTGGAGAATGGGAGGCCCGGAGAGAGGATCAGTGCCTTCAGCCTCAGCCCTGCTTCCCCTGACACTCTCCTGCAGGTTGGCATTTTGGTCCTGAAGCCAGAGTGAGCCATCTCCCTGAGTTCCTTCTAGCTTCACGGCACCTAGGCAGGCAAGGGCGGATGTACTCTTAGACAGATGGGGAAACTGAGGCCCAGGGGATAACTTGCCCAGGATCAACGCTGGAACTGGGACTCAAAGTCAGTCTGTGGAACTCTGACCTTGAACTTAGGGCCTTCCCCACTATTAAAGAATATAGCCACACCTTGGCTAGGGGGAGGGAGGTGACTATAAAGAGGTAGCTTGAGACACCAAAAGTAACTTGTCCTAATCCTGAAAGAGAAACTTGGGATCTGGCTATGGAGGGCCCCTTTTGGAAGACACAGAAATAATCAGGAGGGCACAGTCTCACAGACCATCGAGGTTTAATCTGACCCTCTCTCCTTCACATTTGTCTTTTTTCTCAGCAAAAACTTGCATGGGTTCATCTGTTTTATACCCTGTTTATTTTAAGGCTTATCAGATGTGTGCAGGCAAGCTTGGGTACGAGTAATTTTCTGTTCTAAACTTCTAGTGTGGACAGGGGTGGGTAGCTTAGCAGAGTTTGGATAGGGGCATGTAGACTAGCAGGCATTAGCAGAGGCCAGCATTTTCTGGTCAGTTTGCACTGGGCCTCAGTTGACTCAAGGCATCTTGGAAAATGAATCATCAGATTTTTCTCACAAGGTGGGGGGCAAGCACAGTAGTGGGTGGAGGGTTCATCCGCAGGCAGTGGGGTGACATCGGGGAGATTAAACCAGGAACATGGACTGTTTTAACAGTATCTAAAACCTGTCTCTGCTGGACAGTGGTGGCACTCACCTTCAATCCCAACACTCGGGAGGCAGAGACAGGCAAATCTCTGAGTTCGAGACCAGTCTGCTCCAGGACAGCCATGGCTACACAGAGAAACCCTGTCTTGAAGGGTTTCAAAATAAAATAATAAAACCTGTCTCTGGGTGCCTTGGGGGGTAGTGAGTAAAGTGTTTTCTGTGCATGACGGCCTGGGCTTGGATTTTCAGCACTCACATGCAAGGCAGGTGTGGGGGTGGCATCTCTATCTCCAGTGCTCGTGGCGTCCGTGTGCAGAGACAGGCAGGTCCTGGGGGCCGACTGGCCGTCTGTCAACCTGATGAACTCTGGTTCAGTGGGAGACCCTTTCTCAAAAGACAAGGTGGTGTAGATGTAACCAACCGTCTTTTCAAATAAGAAACACAGAACCAATGCAAAGAAGAAAGCCAAGAGGTCAGAGCTAAGAGCTAAAACCTTACCTTTCCTCCTGCGGTGGTCCTACCTCTCCGAACCAGAGCTACCCCTGTGTTAAAGTCTTTATATAGAGTTCCTGTTCTGCCTTCTCATTGGTTGTAAACCCAACCACATGACCGCCTCCTCACAGCCTGTCTGTATAGGCCTCCAGGTTTTCCATGATTGGTATTGATTAAAGGCATGTGTATCCAATACTGGCTGTATCCCTGAACACACAGAGACTTCCCCAGCTCTGCCTACCAAGTGCTGAGATTACAAGCGTACGCCACCACTGCCCTGCTTTCCTATGGCTTGCTAATAGCTCTGACCCCCGGGCAACTTTATTTATTAACATACAAATAACATTTTAATACAAATAAAATATCACCATAAGGTGGCATTACGGTGAGATGGCACAGCGGGAAAAGGCGCCTGCTGCCAAGCCTGATACCCGAGTTTGATTCCTAGGACCCACCAGAAGAGAACAAATGAACACAGAGAGACAAACGGACTTGTCCTTCTGACATGTGTGTCCACACAGCCACACAGAAATAAAATAAATGGAAATACAAATAAGGTGGAGAGGGGTTGAGGAAGACACTCAGTGTCAACTTCTGGCCTCCACATGTGCATGCACGAACACATTCATGCACACATGTACCACACACAATAAATACAATGATTAATTAAAGCCTATCAGAAAGAGGCCTGGCAGCGGGTCTACCTCTGCGACATGGAGGACAAAGGAGAATGTGCAGCCTGCCATTTGTGGACCACTTCACTGTTGTGTGCCATCTCGGGATCTTCGAAGGCTGACTAATCAAAGTGGAGGCCTGAGCAGGGGCTTGGAGGGAACCCGGCCCGGGTAGCAGGCAGGGAAAGGCGCCCAAGTGGGTGGGTGCGGGCAGGAGCAGGGCACCACCAGAGGAGCGCCTGGCCGCTGGAGGAACATGGTAATCTCAGTGTCTCAAGTGTGCAGAGCAGCCTTAGGGGCTGGCTTTGCAGAGAAGTCTTGGCTTCAGGCCACAGTTTGCTTTCAGCAGGAAGAATACATTGGGTTTCCTCACGTGAAGAGGACTTGGAAGAAAAACTTGGAAGGCTGGGGACTAAGGAGCCAGCCCAGGTTACTCTGCAGGCTCACTGAGAGGAGGGACATGTGTAAAGGTTTGTGTGAAGACCGGGGTGCCTAGAGTGGACCTGTGGCTCTCATGAGCGTTAGCGGTGGGTCTGTGAGCATTTCACCCTGCTGCTGCACGCTCCTGTAAGCTCTCCCATCGGCCTCTCCCAACATTCTCACATCTCCACCCCACCACCACTCCTGGACCTGGGATAGTTGCTCACACTTCCCAGAAGCACAGAGAGATGCAGTTGCCTGCCTAAAATCACACAGCTTTTCAGAGCCAGGAGTTCCAGGTGGACAGGCCCAAGTCCAGAGGCTACTGTCACCCTCCCGAAGCCTTGTTCTCTCAGCCAGGTCTCCCAAGGTGGGAAGCTGGAGCCTGGCAGGTGCCACAGAAGCTGTGCAGGAGGTGGCTGGTGTTTGTTCCTTTCTTGTTTATTGGTCCTTCCCTTCATAAAGGGGAAGGTGCCATAGCCACCACCCAAACAATTCTCTATAAGGCATTCCAGGAAGATACAGGCCTGGGGCCTGGGCCAAGCTGATCCACCCCTGGCGCCAGGCCTCAGAACAGCCAGAAAGGACAGCTCACCCGCAGTGCCAATATTTGCCCTGCCCCCGCCTCCCTGGTCCCAGCCTCAAGATCAAGGCTCTCAATACAACAGGTTCTTAGCTGTGCAAACACGAAGGGCTGGCTGGCTGGAATTTAAAGTGGCTCCAGCTGGGCCCCAGGGTTTGGGTGGAAAATCTGCTCTGGGTTAAGCGCCCGCCATCTCTGTTTGCTGGGGGCTCTCCTTTCATCCTTATGCTCACAGAAACCACACTGGCTAGAGCCAGCAAGAGGCTCAGGCAGGCTTTTGACAAAAGAGGACGCTACCTCCCAGACAGGTCGGGGACTGGCCCAAAGCTGCATTGCACAGGGGCTGCCGTAGTGTTCTGAGGGCCACACTAATTCCAGACACTCACTATGTATTCATATCGGGCATGAGTCTTCACACCACACACACACACACACACACACACACACACACACACACACACACACACACACACACACACCCCGGGCGAAGGCGTGAGTGGAGGGGGGGCAGGACAGGACATCCCATCTCAAAAAATTGAACACACATAGTAAAAAAAACTAATGATAAGTTATAGCTTCATTACTTTTGCGTTTGGGAACTAGCTTTCCTTCTTGCCTTCCTTCCTTCTTTCCTTCCTTTCTCTCTCTCTCTCTCTCTCTCTCTCTCTCTCTCTCTCTCTCTCTCTCTCTCTCAACACAACCTTGCCACGTGGCTCTGTCTGGCCTTGAACTCTTCCTGACTCAGCCCCGTGGGATTACGGGCACATGCCACCAAGCACCATGGTGCCACTGTTGAGTAGGACAGTACTTACTTGGACACAAGCACTGCAATACCTCAGTGACGAATCTGAGGCTGGCTGGCTGGCTGGCTGGCTGGCTGAGTGAGAGAAAGGTGTTTGTGGCCAAGCCTGAAGATCTGAGTTCAATCCCTAGGTCTCATATGGTAGAAAGAGAGAACTGATTCAAGCTAAATGTCATCTGATCTCCACAGTTTGTGAGCATGAGCATGCAATAGCACGTGTGTATAGACAAATACACACACACACATACACACAAAGCTAAATAAATAAGACACTAAAAGAATGATCAGGAGTTTATAATAAAAATGTATTTGTAACAGTTAAAACAGGAACTATTTTATGAAGTACTGTAAGAATATGCAATATTACATAGAGTTATTGTAGATTTATTTCAAAGCATGAGAAGTGTCCAGGTATGTGTGAAAAAAAAGTATTATAACAAAACTTTTTAGTTTTAGTTTAAACTTTTCTTTAAATTTTAATGTACTAAAAATTTCTGCTATAGAAATCTTTTACTTCCTTGATTAGGTATATTCCTAGGTATCTTTTGGAAGTGAGGTTGCGGGGAGTCCCCCTGTTTTTTTTTTTTCTTGGCAAATTTGATATTGACATACAGAAAAGCTCCTGGCTTTGT